ATTAAAAAAAAAAACAAAACAAAAAAAAAAGAAAAAAAGGTGCTGCTGCAAGTTATCTTTTGCAGAAACGATGACGAAATGAACGAGTAGTGTAAAAAGAAAACAAACAATGTAAAAGCAAACACAATTTCTTCTTATCTCATCGTCTTATCACACCGTAGAAAATCGTAATTTAATTCTCTTATATGAAAAATATCATTTTTATTATTATTTTCAAAAATTAAATTACTGTAAAAAAAAAAAAAAAAAAGAAAAAAACCTAACACGCGCATATATTCTTTCTATAATATGTAAATACTTGTATGCGATTTAATCATTATGAAATGCTTAGTATTTAATTGCTTGTTTCGAGTTTGTTAGATGAAATTATCTAAACACACACAAGAAAAAAAAAAAGAAAAAAAAATCCGAAACATTTTAATCAATCTCGTCCGATCAAGTTGACCATCATTGATTAAAAAAAAAAAAAGGTAAAAAAAAAAATAGGAAAGTTGAAGGAGGATAAAAATATGAAACCCACATCATAACTTTGGTCACGAAACGCTACTTCGCGAGTACCTTTTATTTTTCCCCCACTCCCCACTCACACCCAATTTAAATTTTCAAAAAGATAGGTACGCATAAATCTTCTCTGCTTATTATTATTCTCTCGTATGCGTATGAATAAGTAATGAAAACTAAAAAAAAAAAATAAGATACTGTTTTATATAACCATTGCAAAAGAAAAATCGTTCGAATGAAGGAAAAGAAGAAAAAGAAAGCACATTGATTATTCTGATATCACAGTTCTTAGGACCAAATATGCGTGAACGATGTGTGTATTTAAAAGAAGAGATAATATAATGATACGAAAAAAAAAAAAAAAATAAAACAAGCAAAAAAAAAAACTAAAATAAAATAAAATAATCAAGGCGTATGGTATTTCAGTACCAAAGCAAAATAAAACATTCACTCAAATGAACATTGCAATCTGCTGTCTAGACAAAGTTTAAACAAAAAGAAACTAATAATAATAAGAATAAATAAATTTAAAAGGAACAAAAATAGAGAAGAAAAAGACCAAATCAAAAACTATGAATGGTTTTAAAGTAAAGTAAAGTAATGTAAAGTAAAGTAAATTAAAGAAAGTAAATATTGCAAAAGTGGGAGGGGAATAGGAGGATGAGGAGGAAAGAATCGAGTAAAAAAATAAAAAAAATAAAAATACAAGACCAAAAAATAGCAATCGCGATGACCATATTCTACACGACAATTATTCATTAGACATTTAAAAACAAAAAATAAATATCTTAAAACCAAAAGCAACAAGATAAAAAACGTATAGAAAAATAAAGGGAAAATCTTAATTAAAAAAAAAAAAAAAATATATATATATATATATATATATAAAACGAGACTAAAACGTTATAAATATACTTGCACATACCTACTACTAACTTATTAATAAATTAATCGTGTTATATATTTAAAAGAAAGAATGATTAATAAAAAAAAAAATAAAATGTGAAACTTCTTTCTCCAACCGAGCCGAGAATAAAAAAAAAGAAAAAGAATTGAAAGAAAACGGGATTATCCGAACCTAAAAAAATCGCAATCATTTATCATTTACAGAGAAAATAAATTAATAATAATAATAATAATAATAATAATAATAATAATAATAATAATAATAATAATAATAATAATAATAATAATAATAGTAATAAATATAATAATAATAATAAAATCTAACGGAAAGTCCATATTTTCTATTTTTCGACGATCACTCTAAACAAACTTTAAAAACTTCGATGATGTTGGGATAAATATTAAAAAACAGGGAAAAACAGTAATAAAAAAAAAAAAAAGAGAAACAAAAATGTAATAATAATAATTAAAAAAAAAAAAAAGAAAGAAAGAAAGAAAAGAACAAACGGAACGAGAAACTAGCTTCAAAGGTTCGTATCATTTTTTTTTTTAAATAAACTTGTCAATTCGTCCATGTTTTTTTATTTTTTTTTTATACATAGATTTATTTATCGAATACAAAATAATTATTTTTTTATTTTCTCGAAATAAATGACAAAGAAAAATACAAGATAAAAAAAAAATCAAAAATTAAACGGATATGTGTGTTTGTGTTGAGATTGGTAGAAATAACATCGAAAGAAAATAAAGTAAGAAAGAAAGAAAAAAATAATACAAAAAATATTGTTTAAAATAATTCGAACTATTTGGAGCTAGATTATAAATAAATAAAATCTAATAAAATTACTGAAACTCAATCATATCACCGTAGTTGCCTATACTGTCTGCTAGTAGTACCTCGTCGACAATACTGTTCGACATATACTGACAAGAACTTGTTGGATAATTTCGATGATCAATAAATAAATAATAATAATAAAAAAATAAATAAATAAGTGTTGTTTAATAATCATTAAAAAAAAAAAAAAAATGCGATCCACGGAATTATTCAATACAATTCTCGACGAACAACTCAGTTTTTACAAGCTACTACATTATTAAATACTATTACTATTACTACTACTACTACTACTACTACTACTACTACTACTATTAACACTACTACTACTACTACTATTGCTACTACTATTACTATTACTATTAATTAATATCGCTATTATCGAATTAGAATGCGAGAAATAATGAATTAAATTAACATAAGTTAGAATGCGATAAATATATCATAAAAGCCTAACGATTATGATTATATATATACGAACTGTTATCTTCAACGTTTTTAAAAAACAACAAAATAATAAACAACCATTTCTGACTAATATTTGTCGTCCGATAACGATCGATCAACACATAACAAATAAGTTTAAAAAATAAAAGATCAGAAGAAAATATATATCTTCTTTCTTCCCAAAGCAATGACCACATAAAAAAATAAATAGACAAATACATAAAAAGATAAACACAGAACGATCATTATCAAGGACGAGAAATTTGGAAAACGTTGGGACGTCTATAAAAAATCCTTAAGCTATAAAAAAAAATGATCATTCCTGCTTAAAAAAAAAATAAAATAAAATAAAAACCAAAAGACGATTTTACTATTTAATAATAATAATAACAATAATAATAATAATAATAATAATAATAATAATAATAATAATAATAATAATTACTAATTATACTACATATAATAATCGATGACGAAAAGGAAGAACGATGATAGTAATAATTATATTTAATAAATAAAACGAGAGTGTAAGAGAGAGAAAGAGAGAGAGAGAAAGAGTAAAAAAGAAAGAAAGATAGAAAGAAAAAGATAGCGATATTAATCTTAAGATGACGAAATAATATTAACAATAATAATAATAAATAAATAATATTAATAATAATAATAATAACAAGCAAAACAAGAGAAAAAGCAACAACTTCTTAAAATATGTACGCGATTTAAATGCGAATTAGAAAAATCTTTTTTCCGAGGCAAACATATTTTGCAAGTGTCCTTCCAATTATCATCAATCAATGTGGTAGCTCACTCTCTCAAAGGGTCTATTATTAAACACGTAATAATAATAATAATAATAATAATAATAATAATAATAATAATAATAATAATAATAATAATAATAATAATAATAATAATAATAATAATAAATGATAAGAAAATAACTTTTTAGGATTATATTATAGTCAAGGCTTATCAACCTGTACAGTTTTCTCATGGTCCATCGCTCGTTCACGGAAATGATTGATTAATTTTAATTACATATGTGTACACTATTATATACATATAAATAATATGTCAATCACATTTATTTATATATGTAGAAATAAATGTAGAAGTATGATTCGTCACAAGAGAAAAAAATAAAAAATATCTAGCAAATTTTAAAACGTGAAAATTCGATGGATGAAGAGATGGACCAAAAAAACCATTTACGGATTAGACGCACATGTATACGTGTGTGCGAGTAATACATATAAAATCACACGTAATACGTTCACTCCTCTTTCTCTTAAAAACAACCTACGTAAATACACACACACACATACATATATATATTATTATTATTATTATTATTATTATTATTATTATTATTATTATGTAGATGACACGCGTACACGTATACGTGAGTGTTTTTTTTTTCAACGAGTGATATAATAAAATATTATTATTTTAAAAAAAGAGTGCTGGTACACACATAACGTTCAATCTGTCAAATATTGTACATTTACTACATCATTAAATCTATACAACTGCATATATAATATACGGCGATTATTATAAATTATTATTATTAGTTGAAGTTGAATATACCATATCTATTATTCTCTGGAATATATTGAATTTTATTCTATCACCCTAATCCCCCTAAGTCTCCTATCCACTTACGTCACTTCTAATATTATTAATAATATTAATGATAATTCGATAAAGAAATAATAATAAGAAAAATAAACGTTTATTTTTACGAACAAAATTAAAAATTTATTATTAATAAAAAGTAAATATATGTGATGCTATTTGCACGAAATAATCATATTAATAATAAAAAAAGAATATCAAAAATAAAACTTATTGTTAGTAAACTTTTGTCAATTTTTGTTCAAATATTTTGTTAAACTATTATCAATTCGACAGATTATCAAACATTACCTGCACTGTTGTAAAAAAAAAAAATAAAAAATATGAGAAGATTTATTTAATTGAAACTGGTGAAAAAATATTAAATATTTCGAATGAATTTTCAAAGAAAAAAAAAAAAATACTATAAATAGACAAGAGGTAATTGAAAAAATAATAACATTATTGTATTTGAAATAAACTGTTCAAATTTATTACATTTAATTTGTTATATATTATTTTATATTTTCCCCATATATATTATTGATAATATCATTTCAACATATAAAGTTTGAATTACTATATCTTGAAAATGATTTTCCAATTAATTTGACATTATGTTTATTATATTATATCGAATAAACATTGTTGATATTTGTTTTAAAACTTCTTTTTTAAAGTAAAGTAGCTTTTACTTTAAAGAAAGTATCGTTTTACCCCCTAAGCTAAGATCTAATAAAGATGGTTCCTGATTGCTTTCACCCCCACATCTGCCACCCCCACATCCGCCACCACCGTTTCCAGCGTTACCGCTGTTTCCAGCGCCACCACCGTTTCCAGCGTTACCGTCGTTTCCAGCACCACCACTTCCACCGTCACCGCTTCCACCACCACCACCGCTATTACCGCAACGATCACCACCACCGCCGCCCAATAATGATGACTATTAATAAAAAAATAAATTAACCGATTAAAATCGAATTAATCTAAAAAAGAAATCAATTTTCTGTTAAAACTTTGACTCTCACTAAGTCTTCTAATATTAAAAATTTATTTAAAAATTAACCTAATTTTTTTTTGTTGAATATCAATTAATTTGAAATGATATATCGTATGGTTAATAAATAAAATAATATATTACAAAAATTATCCCTCAATTTATTTATATGTAATTTATTGGTATTCGCGGTAAATAATACTTTTAAAAATATTATACATTAGAAAAAAAATAAATTTACTATACTCGCTATCAATGTGAGACATGATAAATTTTATATTTTTTTTTTATACCAACTAATTCAACTAAGTTTTTATTCCGAATAAAAAAAAGAGAATAAAATATTTAAATAAACTGAATAATTATATATAATATATATATAAATTTAATTAATTAAATTTATATTATAATTATATTCGTAAAATACCTTAACTCCTTCTATGTAAACTAATCCCAAAAGTACGAACAACGCCAACAAAGTAATCGAAAACTTCATGGTGATGCTGATGAAGTCACTTCGAAATTGATAAATTTTCTTACGATTCGCCGGTTTATAAAGCTCTTCTGACAATTGTCAAAACAATTGTTCCGTAGATATTTTTATTAGATAACATAAAACAATTTCTTAATTTTGATTTCTTGCAAAAACCTAAATGTGTCACTACCTGTCTATCCTACCTTGCTAAAGCACACATGATTATCTTACATACTGCGTAATATTTTCTTTCTTGGGTAACATTTACTAATCTTAACATCTACATACGCAATATTTTATCTTAAAAACGTGACAGATCATGGTTAAAAAAAAAGAAGATCATAAAAAAAATCTCATAATTTCTATTTTAATCATTGCAATCAAGACAGGTAATATTTGAGAAAATTTGATAAGCGAGTTTATCAGATAAATCTACTTTAATCCGTTTGATAAAAGAATGACGAAACATTTATTGTACCCGTCATTCTTAATCGTACAAATTATGATCGTTTTGTGCGAATAACGCAATCTTCATTTAAACAATCTGAACTAGGAAATTAAAAAAATTATATTATACTACGAATAATAATAAAAATTCCCTCCTTTTTCTATCCATGATTTAAAATTAATTATTTCTTAATATGTCAACGTGATCTGATATTATCTGCATAACGACTAACATTAGTCAGCACTATCTACATCAAAATATTATTTCATACAAGCATAAATAAGTGTAAAGTAAGTATTAACATAATAAAAAACATACCCAATACCTCTTTTGCAAAAAAAAAAATATCGAGAGACATTTCATTTCTTTCAATTGAAAACTGAAACTGCAAAGAATCAACAATGATTATAAAAACAAGGGAAAAAAACAAATAGATCAATCTATATGCCTTGTCTTTGCCTTCAGAAATGCAGATAAACATATATTCAGAAAAAAAAAATTTCTAGAGTTGTCTAATCAATGAAAAGTCAAAAGGGTTGATAAGTTAGATCCAACGATGATCACCTGTAACAAAAAGAAAACAATATTAATCATGCAATCAAGTGGTACAGAGTAGCCTAATATAAATCTTCCAATTCGTAGATGCACTTTTCAATTGAATTCTCTATTAATTTTAATCAAATCTCTATTTACCGTTGCAATAAAATTAAATTTAAACGCGAGATTTTATATTTACATAAAAAAAAGAAAAGTAAAGATATAAAGCTACTACAAAAAAATATCTATTAATTATTATAAAATACTTTGAAAAACTACTATTCTATAGAAAAGATAAATTACAAGTTTAATAAAATACGATTACAGTGAAAAAATTTTAAGACAAAACAAGAAAAGGGAAATTACTTTAATATTCATCAAACTTTAATTGAGCTTAAAAATTTAATAATAAAGGAATTTTCATGTTTTTGACTCTAATTAAATAAAAACTTATGCATCTTTTTGGCGATATAGACACGACTTTGGTGTCCCAAGGAGATGGAATGGTCCATCGTCTCCAATAACAACTAGAAATTATTGACGAGCAATATAATAATATAATAAAATATAAAAAATGACTAAAGAACCATTCTCGAAAGGTTCGAACATGACGTTGAACCTTTGAAAATAATTCAATAGCGTGTAGTTGCCCTCTTGAGCCACAATTAAGTGGGGGCCTCTTCGGCATTTTGCCTCTTCGGCATTTTGCCTCTTCTTTTGTTCATTCCATGAAAACTGCATTTGGACATTTTCTACGTGTAAGCAAGATAAGATCTTTCATACTACTTTTGCAAATGAACTCGTATTTTGTTATGATTCTAATTCTCAATTATTAAAAAATTAATTTACATTTCGCGTTAACTTTTCTAGCTCGTGGACCATCAATGAACTTGGAGTTCATTGATCATACACGAGAACATTTAATCGAATGTCCAAGCAGATAATTTCCCTCGATGACCTAAATAACACTTCGCACTTTTAACGTTGAGTAATAAAATCGAATTGAAATAAATAGTGCAATTATAAATGTGATGCATTTTCTTGCAATATTTTTATTTCATTAATTCGTTATATTTAATTCTATCAAATATTTCTAGCGGTAAAAGGAAATCTCGATAGTGCGTAGTGCTAATCCTGAAATACTTAAAACTAAGTATCAAATGCATCAAAGAATTTGCGAATTGRATTCGAYTYTATCTYGTTYGAGATAAAATCGAAGTAGAAATGAATCTTTCAAATGGTTGCAAATACCTTTGAATCATGATACATAATAAAAATCACAGAATAGTCACAAAATAAATTAACAAATCAAGCATAATACAGAACGAGATGATACAATTTTGTAACAATTCTGCATAAACCAGGAGGCGGAATTTCCACTCCGGAGTGGAAGCAAGAAGTCTAATACCTTTCCTGGATCCTACCTACTTAAAATTAAAGTTTTCACATTCATTCA